CTAATACATCCAATTCCGACTCCATGGAGGCTTTCAAAAGCAAAGATCATATTCAGAGTAGATCATATTTTCATAGGAACATGGTACATTATAGTCTGGTAATAAAGAGCGACTTGAACGCGTAGGAGTAAATGCACAACTGTGTGTACCAATTTGAACGGAAGGATATGGTATTATCCGTCCATCTGTCCACTACATCTCACCCTTGTGTGCTCCAACTTTTCCCTTGATCCTCAAAATCAGCGCACCATTGAGAGTTTCGTCGAAAAACGTGTGGGTACCACATATGGTCCTCCAGCCGGAAAAAAGATGACCGTATTCATCGATGATATCAATATGCCCAAAATTAATGAATGGGGTGATCAAATAGCGAACGAGATTGTTCGACAGACTATGGAAATGAATGGATTCTATAGTTTGGAAAAACCAGGTGATTTCACAAATATTGTTGACGTACAAGTAAGTTAAATGTGTGATTTGTTTTGACTGACTGACTGATTGGTGCGCATTTATCTATCGTCCCTAATGTAGCAGAAGACTGATAGAGACAACGTATAGTTTGAATTGTGAAACTTGATAATTTTAATGATGATAGTTCATTTTATCTAATTGAATTCACGTTAAGTGTATTATAAGAGAGTATAAATCGTACATAATTACCCTACATCCATAACCACAACGTTCGACCATTCTGCTCAAGCCTGTTCATTGATTTGCAAACTCAAGGGCTATTCCTTTGTCCTGCAACGGTTGACAGTATCGCCAATGTGAATAGTTTATAGTTTAGTGGCCTCAAAGATGTCAATCTTAAGGTTCTGACTTTTCACCCAGCTGTTTCGTTATCATTTCAATCAACGAAAAAGTCGGATTGCGCAATTCATCGAGATGAAGCTGTACAGTAAGCCAGTCTATGAAATTTCTTATAAAATCCCAAAGTCTGAAGAAGTTTTCACAGTTAAGGTTGACGAATGAGACTATGAAATCGTTACTCTCCCCGTTGAAATCGAGCAGCTTTTATTCTCTGCATTCGTTCTGTATGATATCAGTGGACAGGGTGAGTAACTAATGTGGTTATTACATGGATCACGGTAGACAGGAGTACCCACTAACAGAATAACTGTCTTGTATTGCCCCTTGTCAACCAGCACACAATAATTTCATCCACAATACAGTTCAGTTCAGTTTTTATAACCATTAATCATACGCTTTCGTGCTCAATACAACCATTAAGAACTAACCATCTACACATTCAGCAGATTACTCTGTATCCATCAAATGTTTCAATCACGGTAATATCACCTAAATTGTGTATTCGCTTGTGTATACTAGTTCCTTGCTGCAATGAATCACCCCGGTGGAGGACGTAATGACATTCCGGAACGATTGAAACGCCAATTTTGCACATTCAACTGCACATTGCCCAGCGACAGTTCAATCGACACAATTTTCAGTGTGATCGGACTGGGACACTATTGTAAGGAACGTGGCTTCGATCAGTCCGTGATTGATTTGGTCGCCAAATTGGTCCCGCTCACTCGAATCATATGGCAGCACACGAAAAATCGTCTACTGCCTACCCCAGCCAAGTTTCACTACATTTTCAACTTACGCGATCTGAGTCGAATCTGGCAAGGCATGCTGAACTCAACCTCAGAGGTAAGTCTATTCAGATGTCAATGATGAGTTACGTCGATGGAATGGCTGGAGTATTCTGCAAACAGTACAGTATATTGTGATGTTTTGGTGATCTAACGCGACCAATTTATGACCTGTCTCTTCAAATCCTCTTTCCTGTAAAAGAATGAAACCAAACGGTGTACAGTAACAAACAGAAGAATTGATCTCTTGCTTTTCACAACTGCAGTTTTTCCACTCATGCTGTGGTTGCGACAATCCGTTGAAAGCTATGGCCCTCCGTCCAACCCCGTCTCATTTCAGGTTATCTGTTCCGAAGAACGACTGATCTGGTTATGGAAGCATGAAATGCTTCGCGTGATTGCAGACCGTTTCACGGTCATGAGCGATGGCCAATGGTTCGATAAATATATCGGTGTTTTGTCTGCCGAGAGTTTATCGGCCGAACAGACTGAATACTTATCGAACGAGGCTTATTTTGTCGATTTTATGAGGTAATCGCTTGTGCGTTTTCAGTTTGATGAAAAACAGTAAATTACGTGTAGCATCTCATGTTTGTGGTGATCCTCTAAATTTGCATCTGTTCGTAACAATCTCGCTAGGGAATGGTTGATTTCTCACACTATATTTTTGATTTGCGGCCAGTCTACATGGTACACTTTTGAAACTAATCATGAAATTATTGTACAGTCTAGTTAACTACTCATGAGTAATATTACTGTGAATGGCACCTTTGTGACGCGCTGCTGTTGATATTTTGTGCAGAAATTCGCAGATTGTTAGTATGCTTGTAAATAATTACTATTTTTCTTCCCAATCAAGCCGATTGTTGTGATTGTTGGTCATGAAAACTTTATGTTTACGTTTGGAAATAACTAGGAAACAGTTTGACCAACGCTTAAACAATGATAATTGGAAATAATACGTACCGATTACAAAATGCCTGGTTAACAGTTCCAAGTGGTAGATTATTTTCATTTGTTGTCAAAACCCACTTTAAAAATTTCCAGAGATCCACCGGAGCTTACTGGTGAAGAACCAGAAGATTTTGACATATCCGCACCAAAGGTTTATGAACCAGTGAGTTCTTTTGCAAATCACGTGAAAATTCATTTTACGCTTTGTTGCTTGTCCATCTAAATAATAAATATTGCAGAAACTTGACTTGGAAAATTAATTTACCTTTATTCATATCGTGCATTTCATATAGCATAGTCTGTTTGGATTTACCAGAATGTTAGTTTCTTTCTGCCAGACTGGTTAATTCAATTAGCGAGCTGGAGAAGAAAATATTGAAATAATAATAAAGTCAGGATGTTGGTTTGAAAACACTGCACTGCGATAGGAATTTGAAGATCGTTATGCAACAATACATCTGGATAAAGTTATAAATGAATTAAAGCGCGTATAGAGAAACTTTACAATAGAACGTGAATCAACCAAGTGGGTCGACGGAGTTACGTGAGGTGGAAATAAGAAAATGCATTGCTACAGTTGGGTTTACGGGAATCGGTGAGATAAAGAAGAGGGTGAGATAATGGCCATAATAATTGCATAATAAAAACCTTTGCATAAAAAGATATGGGCTTCAAACGGCTATTGTTAACAGCAAATTTAAGCTTCGATGTTTGGCGTTGACTAGGAAAGCCTTGGTTATGTCCGGTATCCAAAATATTTGTAGTGCCACTGCGCTGAACTCCTCAAATTGCCAAGTGTTTGGGAACAGACCCACTCATGTTGGACAACAGTAGACGTTTAGTCGTTGCGATGGCCCGCGAACCACAAGTAGATTGAAATAGATAAATGCGATTGGATATGACTGAATTGAGTGAGAGATCTCTCTACGGTTGACCGAGTTAGTGAGTTAATTTTCCACTGAACGATGATTAACTCCGCGGTAGGATAGACAGCCTAAACTGCATTACAAAGTAGTCCATTAACGCTTACAATTACAGCCTCTGCTGTAAATGCCACACTAATGAAAGCGAGTTGTTTTCGACCGCAGGATATTTTGGCCTAAGGTTAATAGATGTGCTATGTTTCTGTACCAATTTCTTACTGTATAACCTTTGCTGGTGCCTTTTAATTAAGTGCTATCCTTACCTGGAAGAACTGTTCCCCTATTTGGTAATATGTAACCATTTTCAACCTGTTCAAAATGCCTGGAAGTTTGTCTTCTTTAAAGAATTTTCTCAGAGACCTCTGTAGTGTGTGTTGGCCCTAGGGTTTTCCGAAGGTGTTTATCAATGTAGCTTTCAGGATACGCACTATACTTACTTTTCACAATGTATCCGGAATCATCTTGCTGTCTTTAAACGTGCATACTGCATTTTATGTGATTATTATTATATGGTCAGAACTAATAGAACCATAGACTTCTTTATTCAAAATCGTTACAGTGAAACTGTACTTCCGATTAGACGGGTCCATGAAATTAAGCTTTAACAAGAAAACAGAGAATAGACTAACATTCCTAGAAGTTACACTAATGCGGAAGGCTGGGCGACCAATAAACATAGGTGTATGCAGAAAGTATGATCTAGATAAAAGACGAATTTCCAAACCCTATTTTCCTTATGTTGTAAAGGAACCTCATTCAATGTCTCATCTGACTCACAAATGATAACCTACTCCGAATCCATTTTGGCCGCGAACTAAGCAGACTAGCATCAGTTGACTGTGGTTGCAAAAGGAGGATAACGTAGAGGTTCACAATACCTCACTGCGGTTCATAAACCAATGACATGTGGCCGAGCAAAACACAATGAATTTCCATGTGATTTTTACAGGAATGAAGTTACTTGTAGAGTGAAACACCGTTTACAGGTAGATGATAATAATGATGATCGCGAGCTATTGGACCACATTTACGGTTTGTTTTCGCACTGCTCTGAAGAGAAAGAGAATAGGGTGTGTAAAGTAGCACGTTCTTTGCCTACGCACTCCATGGCGGATAGGTTCACTGTTGGAACAAGAGATTATCTATCAGACTTAATTTAAAAGCTGTTTTACCAACCGATGGATACACCTAATGAGCTGCAAGAACTGCAAAACCGGTCGTGTGCTTCCAGGGAAATGTTTTCTAGTCACTCACATACTACTTATTATGATATATTCTATAAAGACGATCAAGTCACGTTGGTTGAGGCTAGTAAAATCTAATTCAATTACAGCATATCGAATCATAGCATTGATTCTTTAATGGACTGGCTCTGAAAGAGCTGTCTATCCAAAAGTCTCCCGGTGTTGCAAACAAGATTATTGTAACGAAACCACATAATGCCTTCAACTGGCAAAATGCCCGTAAATTATATCTCCTTCCATAATTTTCACACATTCTTCTGTGCCCCTAACACACCAGGTTGAGACTATCGAAATCCTACGTGATCGTTTGTTGCACTATATGGCAAGCATGAACGAGAATGTTCGTGGAGCCAATATGGACTTGGTCTTCTTCAAGGACGCGATCACCCATTTGGTCAAAGTGTCCCGTGTAATCCGGTCCCCTCGTGGAAATGCTCTGCTGGTCGGTGTGGGTGGTTCCGGAAAGCGATCGTTAACACGACTGGCTTCGTATATTGCAGACTATCAGGTGTTTCAGATCATCCTGACACGGTACGTGTATATTCAGCCTGCCGCCAGTGAAATCGATATTCCGTATGTAAAATCCTAGAGTTAATTTTTCTGTTTTAAAGGTGTCGAACTTTACAGTTATTGGGAATTCTTAACCCAACTTGGGATCGAACCCGTATACGTAACGAATTTCCCCTTTGAAATTGAATAAAATGCTCTATTACTCACATGGAATAAGGTTGTGATTGTTTCCAACCGAGTCATAACCCCGGAGGCTAGTGCTGAAAAGAGCGAGGTCTGTGGCCTGCAGCAAGCTCTCAAAGATGGATTGTACTAGATCGTGTAAATGGAAGATGAAAAACGGTCTGACCAGCTGCACTATGGCCGAGTGATTAACATGTTTGCCTTCTGCTCCTTAGGTCAGGGCTCGATGCCCAGTTGAGTCGATGGATTGGCACTGCTGATGAGGGCCAACCGGGTCGAAACCGCTATCCAGTGCTTCCTAGCGTTCCAGCTCACGCCTCATTTGCTACATACACGACGAATTTTCCCTTTGGAACATACATCTGCTAAGGCTATAAATTGTTTACCTTAATTACTTGACCGGTACTACTACTTTTACTACAGTTAGGAAGCTTGTGCAAGTTCAGTTATCATCCTGATAATTAATTAACAGTAGTTAACATATCAAATGCAATAAGCACACTGTTTGCCAGAAATCAGTGACTATGTCCCGAGATTGAGTTGGAAAAAACTCCACAAGTTTCGTCACAGAATCCTTGGAATAGACAATCTGATCGCATTTCACAACGGTGTGAAAGCAATTGTCAAATGTGAGGAAGTTGGTTGCCTAAGCTATCATGGTTTGAGTAACCCCTGATTTAGGGTAAAATTTTGTTTGCATTCGACTTGTCATAGATCTCTCATACATTTGCTTTAGGTATTGACAGAGACTTTTGTTGAATAAAAACATGATGCGTTCCTAGCATTATATGATAGAAAATTATTTGGGTTAGAATACTAAATATCATATTAGCTCATACTTCAAGCTAGTACATGCTACGATACGCCCTGGAGAGTTGGCTGAACTGTGATCCACAATCCGTGGGTGAAATAATCGTTTACCCTAAAACGACACCAGCACTTCTGTGTAATTTGGATTTTCAAATCGTTACCCTGTGGACGGTCTGGTCACCTGAATCATCCAGGTGCATATCCCAACAAAAAGAAGGATGAGAACCTGAGGATCCATGAGCTCCACAATTGGTTCCGTTGCCTACTGGTCACGGTCTCCCTGTTCAGCGAATCCAAGATACCTCTCCGTAATTCACTTCCTGCTTCGACTAGAGACACCCATAAAGTACAACGCCCACGCATCTCATATCGCCTTTAGAACTACTACCTGTNACCTGTATCAGTGAATTGTGAATACCAATCAAGACAAAGCAACGTGGTAAGCATTAGACAATGGA